TCCAGGTTATAGTTGATGGAGTGTCATGAAAGCAACAATATTTCCACTCGGGCGCGATTTTTGTCTGATTGCACCTCCTCACATGTTACCAAATTCTGGATTGTGCCTGAGCATCAGTAGCCAAAGTCGTAAACATCTCCTATCGGTCATTAGCATTTGGTAGCCATCGAACGACAATAATTAAACATAAAAACGCGCGTCTAAAATATGTGACCTGAATTAATTATTATAATTATATAGCAAGCACCTTATTTTCTAATCCCTATCTATCTTTTTTTGGTCACCATAAATATTGATGATAGGTGACAGTGTGAAAAGCGTCAACTACAGTTATAAATAATGTCGAAATTATGTTTCAGTGAATACCCTAATGCGTTTTTGAGCTTGCATGCATACATATGTAGATACGCACTGATGAGTTATTCGAAACACGTGTCACTAGTCACTTCGAGGCACATGTGGTGTGTTTTGGTATTGCTAGCTGTCATCCATAAGAACGTGCAGTGCAGATTTGTATATTAAATAAAAGATTTTTCGATAAAATTTAATGTATTTAGGAAGTTACGTTGGTAGCTCCCATCATGATGTTAGCCCGGTAAGGGACACAAAATGTTTATAAAATCTTGCAAAAATTCTATAATGGATGAAAATTTGGGTTCAGGTAACTGGAATACTCTTTTTTATCAGAACAAAAAGTTGCGGATCTTATGGTAGTCGGGAAATTTTTGAAAAACTTTTCGGTTTTGGAGTTTCTTGCTTTGATAATAGAAAAAGGTGGTCAAGACAATTCTGTAGCTCGAAAAATTGGCAATTTGGCATCGCTATATGGAATTAATGACTGAAAAAGTCGAGCTTTGTTATATTTTCTGTTCTAGAAAGAATATACCTCAGTAAAATTATTCTACAACAAATGGAACATAAAAATAGATAATAGTTTTTCGGCATGATGATTTTGAAAAGATTTATGGCCTAAAATAGAAATTAATTTGGAAGGCATTTTTTGCTCAGTTTGATATACGGGGTAGCGCATCGAAAACGAAACAGACGCATTTACTGACAGCTCGTTTTTTTTTGGAAAAAGGCTCAGACCCGTCGATTTTGTTTTCGAGGGCGACACAAGTTTGGCAAAAAATCACGTTAGCACGTGCAGCCCCCTAAGCGGGGCTGACACCACCCCCAAAATCTTAAATGGAAAGGGGGATCGAGTGATACCTTATTTTAAAGGTCTTTCAATTCCCTTTATAATGATGTAAAATACATGAGCTTCAGTTCAGTAGTTTTGAAGATTTATTGATTTAAAGCTTAAATAAAACTAATACATCATCATTAGTGGAGATCAATACATTTGGCAAGTAAATGTTGAAAATGGCCACAATGACTCTCCATGCAATAATAAAGATTTTTCTCAAAACGTTGCCGCACATTTTGCAATATTTGAGGAGTAATTCAAGGCACTCATTCACAATTCTTTGTCGCAGGTCTTCTATTGATGTTGGCTGAGTAGCATAGATTTTGCTTCTTAAATGACCCCACATAAAGAAATCCAAAGGTGATAAATCTGGCGATCTTGGGGGCCATTCAATGGCACCTCTTCTACCAATCCATCGATCTGGAAACGTCTGATCTAAATATTGTCGAACACGTAATGCGTAATGTGGTGGGGCACTATCCTGTTGGAACATCAACCTATTCGCAATGTACCGCCGATCATTCTGATTTTCAATTACGGCTGTTAATGTAGGATCTATGGCATATTCCAGTATTTCCAAATACATTTCACCGGTCAAATTTCCAGGAAAGAAAAAATAACCAACTAAATGATCGTCAAAAAGATCAGCCCAAACATTTATTTTTTGTGGCTGCTGTGTATGGACCTCATGATAAATTCTGGGATTAGAATCGGACCAATATCGGCAGTTATGACGATTTACTACGCCATTTAAGAAAAAGGAACATTCGTCGGAAAAGCAAGTGTTGAATAGAAAATGTTCATCGTTTATAATTCGTTCACTCATATCTTCACAAAATTGTAATCGCCGATCAAAATCGTCTTCATTAAGTTCTTGTACCGGGTGAATTTTATAAGGATGAAAACTATGGGCCTTCAGAATCCGTTGGACAGTACGTCGACTACCACCACACACAGTCTCTAATTTGCGGGTACTTAACGCAGGATCTACATAAACTTGCCCTAAAACCCCCACTTCTATTGCTTCGTTCCTTATGGGATTTTCAATGTTGCGTTTTTTATTGGCGACTGACCCAGTTTCCCGAAATTTAGCTACAAGTTCCATTTTCGATGCACGTTACTGTTCTCATGTCGCTCATTAAATATTTTTGCTGTTTTATTAGCGCAATGATTATTTCCGAAAAATATTTCGATAATTTCAACTCCTTCTGCTGTGGAATATACCATGGTTAATTTATGTAATAAAGCGTTACAAGTTATTTTAGCAACAAAGTTTGGTCAAATCAATCGCAAACTATGTATTAAATTCCTATTTAAACTAAGTACGAGATATTTCCTTATCTTTCTTCAAGAAATAACTTTTTGCCACAAAAAAAACGCTCCAATAGCTATTTTCAACAACAAAATGATAAACAAACCATGGGCGTAGTGAAGAAAAGCATTTACTTATTGAGAAAATTCTGTTAGTCAAATTTCTTCTGAAAGTAGTACAAACTAATCTGATGTACCTATTAAAGTCTACTTTAAGCTTTAAATCAATAAATCTTCAAAACTACTGAACTGAAGCTCATGTATTTTACATCATTATAAAGGGAATTGAAAACATTTAGAGTAAGGTATCACTTGACCCCCCTTTCCATTTAAGATTTTAGGGTTGGTGTCACCCCCGCCCAGGCGGCTGCACGTGTTGACGCGATTTGTTGTCAAACTTGCGTCCCCCTCGAAAAAAAAATCGACCGGTCTGAGCGTTTTTCCAAAAAAAAAACTGAGCTGCCAGTAAATGCGTCTGTTTCGTTTTCGATGCGCCACCCTGTATATTCTTTCACCAGATACATTATTGGAGCAATTTTAGTAGTTCAAGTTAAAGTTCAGCTTTTTTACATCATTTGTAATTTTCATTAATAAAATGGCTCAATCATTAATCCCGTAGCTCAAAAATTCCGCATACGAGCATTGACCTAAGAGAGCTCTACGAGAAGTGGAATAATCTTGTAAGCAAACGTAAGTATGAAAAAATCATAGAAACAACTTTCGAAGCTGATTTATCCAGCTATCAAATTTTCTCTAACAACTTTTTGTTATATATATATATATATTTATATATATATATATATATATATATATACATAATATTTACAGGACCGTAAAAAAATTAAAAAGCTTTTCAAAGATTTTTCAGTGTCTGTACACGGTAGGATCCGAAACTTTCACCATGCTAAAGAACATTACTTCAATAACCTAAATCTAAATGTTTATTCATGTTAGGTAAAAGTGCTCAATTATTGTATGTCATTACGTATAGTTTGAAAAAAAGTTTCGTGAAAATTTTAGTATGGTACGCTAAGTATGGTATCATACTTCCCACACATAATAATTACAAACACTAAAGTTGGACCTGGTTTTAAAGTTAGAAGAATATAGTTATTTTAGCGTTTTCCGTTAGCTAATGATTGTGGTCGGATGTCATTGTAATATGATTAATATACCAGACTCAGGGTTCGGTTCGGACTTAACAAATGTTACGGAACGATTCAGTTTTCTTCGAGTAAAGGAATTTTGGAAAAACGTCAAGGTTAGGTCTGTACTAACTTTAAGCAAGGTGTTCAATGGTGATCGTGGGCTTGACCTTAAGCATCACCTTCAAGGTTACTTCAGGATCAGCTTTTGTCTTTTTAATGAAAACCCCCTTTTTGATGCCGATAATCCAAAATACGAAAAATTCTACAACTAAATGTGTACTGAAATATGAGATCAAGGAGATTCCTAAGTTTTAGCATTATTATTGATGAAAGAACAAAGGTAACTTTTAACAAGCTTTTAAATGAATTTGACCGTAATAGTAACTGAACGTATTTCCCTTGTAGGTGTCAAAGAGTTAAACACATAAATTGACCTTGAAATGACTGAAGGTGAGGTTCAATGTCCAATCCAAGATCACTGTTGAACTTCCTGACCAATTTCGAAAATACCTTATCCAGAAAAATCAGCGATATGGATGGGACTATGCGCTACTTTATACAACAATTTAGCCAAATATCACAGAATACCACCTGACTGATGCATAGGTACGCATATTATTCATATTATCATAGCTCGAACTATAAAAATTCTTTGTGACTCAGGGTTACTACCCCGGAATATTATCAAGCACTTTCAGTAACGTAAGATATGTCTGACAGATAATGATAGTTTTAAGTAGTACTTTAGTACTTGGTATGTGGTGTAGTCTAAAAACCACCTCAAACAAAACATGAGAGATGAAATCAGCGGCATTTTTCGTGAAATAATTCATATCTTATTATTAAGTTACTTTCATATGGACCTCAATACTTGATAATAATGAAGGAGAAAGCCTAATAATTTGAGAGCTATGCAAAAATCAATCAAAATTAAGATAACTCTATAGGCCATATAGTACGGAATCACCGCTACCACTTTTGGTTTTGGAATGTGTTCATAAGAAATAGAAATTATAATCGTATATTAATGGGATTTTACAGAATCAACATCCTTTACCGGTTTCATTATTTGAAAAAGTTGATTTTTAGGCTTTTTATTTTTAGCATTACTTTGATGAATGTTAAAAAAATTAGCAGCAGTTTTTTATTGTTACCTTCTAATCTTAACAGAACGTCGCCTTGAGTCTCTAGCAACATCGACAAATTATGAATATGTTAGAACAAGATTTCAGAATATCTATTTGCAAAAGTCAGAGGTTGAACACTGCGGTGACAAATATTGAGGGAAATAAGGAACAATCGCATAATATAACAAATTTATCTAAATTGTTTGATTGCAAAAAATCACTAACATGCATCTCCAGCGCTGGACAGCTCCTGTACCGACTCTTCCTGGTAGCCAGCTCCCACCACGGCACACTAGGATCACCCACCGGCGACAACTTGCACCTATCTCCAAAACAGCTGTTGAACTTGTCATTGGAGTCACCAGCATCGTTGGTCAAGGGCGATATGGACCCTTTCTCCGCCCAAAAGCTGGCCCTGTGTTGATGGTCGTTGCCGTGTCTCCAACCTACACCGTTCTCGGGCACGCTGGCCAGAGACGGCGGCCTGGGGGGGTGCCGGGGTACACCCACCCTTGGGCGTCGGATGGTCGCGAAACCGTCGTGGACGGCTGACATTTTACGCGAGTCCCGTCACATGGTTCCCGGTTTTAGTCCAGAATGTCATTTTGTATTCTTTCGCGGCACTTTCAAGCGAATTTTCAGTATTTGACTAATATCGTGGAATGTCCTGTGTATCATGTATCATCATCATACTACAGTTAATTCGTCGGGTTTTGTTGTAAAATCTATTTTCCAGCAGGTTATGCAGGATATTAATAAAGTATTCAATAACAAGTAGCAATCATTTGATTGATTCTAATAAAAGTTCTTATAAACATAGTTTCAGTAATGTCATTTTTTAAGTTACAGAACATTATCTGAAAATTTATTTTTTCAATAAGTGAGATCCAAAGCCTCAGAGGAGACTAATTAAAAGATTCAAATCTGGGGATCTAGATGTCCAATACAATTTGTGGTTTCCGCAAAGCGCCTTTCTTTTAAAAAATTTTGATTGATTTTTTGGCCATAGGTTTGTACAAAATCAAAAGAGCTAAAAGGATATTACGATTTTTTTCACAAAAAACGGAGTTTCAAACAAGCTCTAGGAACCTGAATCTATATAGAAAATGAGGCAATACTGGACCTACGCGTATATGAACCTTTTTTAGAATCATTCAAGATATCAGCCTTTGAAGATTAGCTAGCTACTTCAATAACATCCTGTATAAAGATGATATTATATTGATTTCATAGAAACTCAAAAACAGTGTTTTGTAAGGGTACAATATGAGTATTTATCGACTCGACAACAAATATTTTTATATTTGGTAAGATATGACTATCGTCAATTTTCCGAAGTTTTGTCCAGGATATAATAAGAGGTATTCCAGAATCGTTCTAAATAGGGACGACATGGGAAAGTTCCAAGGATAAAACCTGGTAGAAGAACAAAGACCAAGCTTGAATTGCAGTTATTTCTCCATTGTGTATATTGCTGTATGGATAATCGAACCACATAATAATACCTTTCTCTTCTATTCTTCTATTGACATTCCTCCATTAAAAGCTTTTTCTTAAACCAAAAAAAATTATAGCTTACGAAAGTAATATTTCATAGTTGTAGAGAGATTTATGTTGTTAAAATAATTTCGATAATACCTTTCCCAACCAGCATCAATCAAAGTAAACATCAGGATACAATTTATTATAAGATTCAGTGCACATTTTGGCCAATCTAATAGATATCAACAGCGAAAACTATTTCTTAGACAAGCTCTTATGTCATTCAATATTAAGATAGCAAGGATGATATGTTCATAATCATGATTATTATAATGGCCACCGAAAATAAGCGGTCTATTAATGATGGAATATAGCTGACGTCACCTTACAAAGCCTTGTTAATGGTTCTATTAGCTTGTGTCATTCATAGACTGTTTAAAAATATGTCAGACCTGTATTGATAGCCAACATCAGGATACAATTTATTATAAGATTCAGTGCACATTTTGGCCAATCTAATAGATATCAACAGCGAAAACTATTTCTTAGACAAGCTCTTATGTCATTCATTATTAAGACAGCAAGGATGATATGTTCATAATCATGATTATTATAATGGCCACCGAAAATAAGCGGTCTATTAATGCTGGAATATAGCTGACGTCACCTTACAAAGCCTTGTTAATGGTTCTATTAGCTTGTGTCATTCATAGACTGTTTAAAAATATGTCAGACCTGTATTGATAGCCCAGTAAAGGTTTTAAAAAGATATGCTAAATTTTAATAATTGTTATATACATATATAAAGAAGAAAACAAATTACGGAATCCCCAAACTTTGCTTCTGTTTGTTTTCCCGAATTTTTTTGAACTAGAACATGTTCTTGCAAGAAATAGCAAATTTTGTATTTGTGTTTTAAATTCATGATCACTAGTCGTAGTAAAAAATTAACAGACTGATCTAAATATGTGTAAAACATTAAAATTCAAGATTTGGATCGAATCTATTTGTCCCAGGTAATCATGGTTTAAAAACATTTTGTAAATGTACATTCAAGATAACAGCAACCCTTGGTGTCTTTGGACCAGACTATAATTTTAAAATCACTCTCGAGCACTGCATCATACCACTTCAAGTGGATCTAAACGACGCCTACACCAATTATAAAAGCCAAAAGTACGTCTCTGGCTCGTTGATGCTCTTCAGCCGCATTTCCGTTCCTGACAGATACGGTAAAAGATGCAAACGTATACAATAAAAAAATATGGAATGGTAATGGCCTTAGTCACACGCACAGGATACAGTTGAGGTACCACCATATTTTTTCTGGTTATCTAGTGTTTATTTTTTAGTTCCTGAAGGGATCGTCAATGTTTTTTGTTCATTTTGGTACAGAAAGGTTTTACCTTCCAGTTATAGGAAGTTTACTATCATTCAGATCTGCTGTTGAAACAATAAATGAATGATTTTCTAGCGATTCCACAGATGAAGAGATAATACATGGCATTTAATCACAGAATAATGATTGTCCAGTAGGTATAAATGACAAAGAAGTTGAGATGGTTTTCGGTTCACAAAGCATATAGATGTAGGCTAGTCTTTCGTCAGTCAAAAACCTATAAGAACTTGGTTCTTTTATAAATCGTTATTGTAATCGTAAAAAGTGCGATATCAGCACTTTCTTTCCTCTACAAGAGAGAATAATTAATTATAATTTCAACGTGACGTTTCGTCTCTTGTCCTCCAGCGTCAACTTCCTTTTTATCATTAGACTTTTGCACAGATGAATAGAGTTCTTGATTCTGATTCTAAAAATGCATAAAACGTCATATATTGAAATTGCCAAACCTTAGTTATTTCAAAAAGCAAAATTTCCTTGGTAGGCCTTGAAATTATCAGATAGTCATTTGTTTCGCATACTAGATTTACTCAAAATCGTTTTTATCTTTTTCCTGACTTTATTTGATATGAAATTTCAAAATATTTCAATTCGAGATTTTTCCTTTTTTTTCCACGCTATATTGATATTTCGTACATTTAAATGGATTTTTCAGTTCTAATTCAGCGATGCATTTCTTTAGTTGAACATGAATTTGTTGTTGGATGAAAATAATGAACAAATAAAACGGTATGGTCCGTTATTTTGTAGCCAAAGCCCTGACCCTTCTCTGTGAATTGTTCACTGCTCCGTTTATTTCCATTCTTCTCAATCTTCCAAACTCTGTTACTATGTTCAATTTGAGGTTTGGTCTGGTATACGAGACAAATGACTAATCTGATAATTTCAAGGCCTACCTAGGAAATTCTGCTTTTTTAAAATAACTGAGGTTTGGCAATGTCAATGTACGACGTATCATATATTTTTGGAATCAGAATTGAAAACTCTATTCATCTGTACAAAAATTCAATAAACGACTTTATATTTCTTACCGAGAGCCCAATAACGAGGGTCGAATTTTAAACACCTGGTAGATGAATAGATAGATCTTCTGCCAATTTTTGGAGTTCGATTTTGAAGCTATTAAATTCTTCAACTTTGGCTTAGTAACAGTTCATCATTACCTATTTATAAAAGACAGGGTAATGATATTTGTAGATGATTCACGATCCCGTGTTGAGTATTTTCAAATTTTCTATGTCATGCCGTGTAAATGGTGTTAATGGTGCAGCGACCAGGACATTCCTTATCTAAAATGTAGTAAACAAAAGCCGAAGCACGTCTAGGGTGATACATGTTACAAAGTGATCTTAGACTGGGCATATCACTGACGCAATACCATTTTTACACCATATCGCTTCTCTCCGTAACGGAACCACTAACATCGAAGATTAGATAGTGGCAAGAATGCTTGAAATTCAAAATATTCGTAAATTGACGATTTTAGTAAACAATGTGTCACAACAATTGAGATCAAAGCAGTTTAGATACATCGCAGCTGTAATTAAATAAAATCTAATTTTGTGGAGTAATTGTGGGAAGCATTTTCAGTTCACAGAATACGCGACGCATGAAATCACTGCCATTGACATTTTCAAGTTGTATGCATTTGCTTGCTCCGTCAAATATTATGTTACTAATTACCATTTGACTTTCCGACAATACTTAAAACAGGAAACGATATCCTGGCATTACTAAATTCTACAGATTTAGAGCTCCTAAGAAACTTAGAAAATCAGGTGTTTATATAATCCACTGTCCATGGTGTAGAACATGCCAGCATTAATCTAGACAAAGAACTTAAAATAGTGTTATATCAAACTTGTAAATCAGCAAATCAGGGACAAATACGAAATATATTGGAATTGATACCTCTAGCAGCAAGTAGTCACGAGAAAAAGCCAAAGCCAAAACTGGCGTTTTCGAGAAACTACACGCATTTTTTTAGCTAATCTGAAAACGGATATCAAAGTCCTAAATGCAAACTTGGGAGACTCTGAACGTCTTTGATTCATGTTGGTTATGTTGGGCGAAAGTTGGAACTTTCCTTCTACGAACAACTATATGTACGCTTGAAATAACAAAATGATAATGCGAAAACGCAAAAAAGAAACTAAAGAAAAGTACTTGCTATTTATTTGATAAAAAATGTTAAGCAGTGCATTGTAACATGCTTTGCGCGTAAATACGGATTGAAGTTGTCGTCGATTCAGAAACACTGCTTTGTTAGCTTCTCATAAATTTACAAAATTTGGGTTTGTGTAGGTCTTCTACTATGTCTACCTAACGCCCTACCTGTTCAGATCGGAACAAAAACATCCACGAATACACTGGAGATGTGTCAATCTTGAATACATTCACCGTAAACTAACATCAAACAGGTAACCTTATTAGTGCTACAGAAATGTGCGAATTTCAGTTTTTCAGATCCATTTGTAAATAAACAGCGAGGATAACCTTCACGCCGCCCGAGGCTTGATATGGATACTGATGCAAATTCGCTAGACACTGTGTCGGGCTGGCCCATTAAGACTTTTTCTTAATGCTCATATATACTAAAGCTTCAGTATACGTGTTAGCAAGAAAATTTGCTTATTGTTACGTGAACTATACGCTGTGTGAAGAAAAGATCCAACTTTAAAGACAACCTGTGCACTTTTTTCAGAATTTCATCAGATACGTCTGAAATGTTCACAAAATATTATGTGAAACATAAAACTGAGAACGTTTGAAAACAATAAATAAAAATACAAGATGCATCTCTAGTTTTAACATTATCATCAACTTTTGAAAAAAGGTACTGGA